AGGTGGAGGGAGATGGGCGGGGTTGCCGGGGGCAGATTGTACAGGGCCTCAGCCCCGCAGGAGGATTTCACTGTTTGGGTGAAGGAGAAGCTGCTGGAGGGCTGTGGGCCCAGCACTGACTTGTTTCCATACATTCTAGAAAGGTCACATGGGCTACCTACCGCATGGAGGAGAGACTGGAGGGTGGCGAGGGTGGGTGCAGGACCACTGGCTGGGGGCCTGCTGCAGTCACACAGATGGGAGGATGGACGGTTCAGTGGCGGGGGCAGAGGGGGAGGCAACCAGGAGGGGTTGGATTCTGGATTTATTTTGTAGGATGAGCTGATAGGATTTGCTGATGGATTAGAAGTGGAGCGTGAAAAGAAGAGAGAGTGTCGGCTGCAAGGTTTCTGGCTTGAGGAACTAGAAGGACAGTGTGTTGCCATTTACTGAGACAGAAAAGACTGCAGGACAAGCAGGTTTGGGGAGAGAATTTGAGAATTTGGGTCAACTGTGTAAGGTTGGGGTATACGCTGGTGGGGGGTGGAGGTACATTGCTAGAGATTTGTCCTGGGCCCTGCATGCTGTTGGGGCAATTCCTGCAGAGATGTGCGAGGGGGTGTCCTGTAGGGCCCTCCACAACCTCAAGATTCTGTTCTGTAAGAACAAACGTTTCCTGGTCCCTTCATGTTCTTTTCTCTGTCTGCAAACCTCCTGCTGCTTTTCCCTTCATTCTGGACAGAGGAAAAAGGCAGATTCTGAGGACTCATTGCCACAGTGGTGGTCCCACCCTTTCTGCCTGGCATGCCTCATGGGTGGGAGTTCCTTCTGGGGTGGGAGGAGCTGGAAAGGGAGGCTGGAGGCCTTAGGTCACCATAACCTGGCTCTGCTACCAATAGAGAGAATTCTGTGCCTTGGTTTCCCCTCCTGTGCACAGAAATGTTGAGCTGGCTCCTGTGCTCTGAGGGTGGCAGGGAACATTTGAGGAGGCTGTATGCACAGTGGTTAAGAATCTGGGCTGGGAGTTAAGCAGGTGTGGGTGTGGATCCTTGCTCTGCTGCTTGGCTATGAGACTCTGTGCAAGTGACATAACCACTCTGAGCCTCAATTTTCTCATCCGTAAAAATGGGCTAATCATAGTACCTGCTTCACAGGATTAGTGTGAGGGTTAAATGAGAAAATGTGCATAAAACACTCTGCAAAGGCCTTGACACCAACTATACCCAGTTAATGGAGGCTGTTAGTAATGGTGACCTATGTAGTTGGTCAGGTTAAGGGTCTTTGCCCAGTGGGTAGTGGGAGCTATGAGAGGTTATTGAGCAGGAGCATGTTATGCATGTGGTTTGATGGGGCAGCTGTGAGTGTGGAGACTTGGTCTGAGTTCTCTTAGCCAGTCCCTGAGCCCCTTCCACCTTCCAGAATGAGAATGGAGGGTTGGCTCTAATGGACTATCTCCCCCTTCCCCAGCTGAGGGTCTTCATTGACCTGGCATGGGCAGCCTCTGTCTTTCACAGGTCCTTCAGAGATGGGGGTGGTCATTTTCCTTACGGTCTCCTGTAGGACTCTTTGTCTCTACATCCTAGTGACCAGCCTTAGGGAAATGTGAGTGAGGGGCATTGAGGAGTGGGTGATATTGAGGGGATTTAAGTTGCATGTAGGGCTCTGGACAGGGCTGGTGGGGCAGGGCATTCCACTGGGCACTTGGATGTGACCTTGGTTCCTGGTTTGGGTCCAGGCTGGGTGTTGCCTGCTCCAGTGGAGCCGTGGAGAGGTTGACAATGGGTGGAATGTGGCCCCCTTAGGACCCACACTTCACTGGTGCTCAGGCATGCTGGCTGAGCTCTGTGCTTCTGCAAGCCTGTTTTCCAGCAGTTGGGCTGTGCCAGGATGGCCAAGGACATTTTAGAGTCCTCAGGGCTCATAGATAGGCCGTCACCAAGCATTGCTTGTTTTCATAGGATCCAAGGGTCTTTAGGGGTGGAGGAGGCACTGGAGATATTCCAGGGACTTTTCTTAACATCTGGGTAAATTGAGGTCCGGAGAGAGCAAGGCACTTGACCAGGGTCTCACAAGGCCCCCTCCCTCATAACTGTCACCTTCCTCTGTTCCCATGTCCCTTACTCAGACTCCTGGCCTACTGCCCAGATGTTTGTAACAACCTCCCTCTTGTGGGCTTCCTGAGAGTTTTGTTTATCCTCCTATTATCATAATCTTGCCATAAACTGCCAGGCACACTCACCATTTGATGTGTCTGTCCCTCTGTCCCCCTCCAGTGACTGCCTGCGATGGAGTCTCTCAGACAGACCTGAGCAGCACAGGCTTCAGGCCCAGGCTCTGGAGCCAGACTGAGCTCAGGTAGAATGCCAGCTCTGCCCCTTCCTAGCGTGGCCACCCTGGCATGATGCCCTACATTTCCAAGCCTCAGTGTCTCTGTCTGTGAAATGAAAGCAGTAGCAGTGCTTAATTTATGGGGATGTTGGGATGGTTAAATGAGATAATATGCGAAGTACTGAGTACAGTGTGTGGCATAGAGTAAACTCTCAAAACTGGTCGTTGTTCCAAAGGCCCATCAGTGCTGGCTGAACTAGAAAGATGAGAGTGTGGAGGAGTAGACCCAGCCTTGGACAGGGAGGCAGAGGATGTAGGCGCCAAGTTCACTGTAATGCTCTATGGTTTTTGGAAAGTCACTCATCCGCTGGGAACCCCACTTTCCTCTTCTGAGAAAGGGGGAAGAAATCCCTGCTAGGCTTTTATAAAGTTGTTAGGTGACACCAAAGCAGTCACTGTAAAAAAAAGCTTTGCATCTGTGTAATGATTTAAAAATGGCACAGTGGTGGCTGTGGTGTGCTGATGGTGATGAGGACATTGTAACCACAGTGGTGGACAACTGGCTGGGCTGGAGGCTGGTCAATCTCTGGAATGCTCAGCACTCACGCGGATTTCCCCATCTCCGCCTACCTGCTCCTGGCTGTCCACCAGCCTGCCTTGCACATTAACCCCAGCGTTACATGCTAGAAAATGTGGCAGGTGCAAAGATCCAATGGCATTTTCCTGGCTCTGGTGGGATTGGGGTTATCGGTGGGTGATGCCATGACAGGGTGTGGGAATTAAGAGTCAGATAGACGCTGGTATGAATCTCAGCTGAGCACTTCCCAACTGGGAGCTTGAACAAGTTGCTTAACCTCCAGGTGGGTTAGTGCCAGGCTGGGGCTGGGATGGGGTGAGTGAGGCACAGGTGCAGAGTCGCAGCAGCACCCACTCCCGGGTGCCCACTGTGCGCTCGCACACGGAGAGGACCAGTGCCTTCTCCAAGGCGGCGCCCTGGTGCCTCACTTGCCTCACCTGAGCCCGGCCCTGGGTTAGTGTCTGATCTAGGACTTGAACTCCAGTCTCCTGACCACTGAACTGTTCAGGACCCCTGCAAAGCACCTTCTATAATGTCACCAACCCTCCTGAGCCCCTTTAAAAGGAGCCTGTGTGATGTAGGTCATTGGGCACTTTTTGCTCTGTGTCTTTGCTCTCTAGCGGTTGGTGCATTCTAGAGAAATCCAGGTCCTCCTGCCCACCTCCCTCCACCACTAGCCCCCCAAGCCCCACCAGCTACGTCCCCCTTCCCCAGAAGCTGCACCTCCATGCAAGCGTGTTGAGCCCCCTCACACCAGAGCTGTGTTGGCAGTGAGCTCCTGTTGTGGTGACAAGACCCAGCAAGTCTGGAGGGACAGTCTGCTTTCATGTGGGCCCTCGGTGAAGCCTCCTTGGTCTCAGCAGGCCCCGTGTTGTGCCCGCCAGGCCTCCAGGAGATTAGGGGGCTTCTGCAGCTCCAAATGCCTCAAAGCTTTTCCCTCCTTCTGTGTCATCCGCAGCCTGCCTGGCTTCCCTCCCCTCTGGCCGTGGGGCCTGGAGGCTTTTCATTTTCCCAAGGCCTTGGCGTCTTCCAGGGTGGGCTGGTCTTGGGGTGTTCATCTGTCACCACTGCCAGTCTTGCCCACTGGCTACAGCTACTAATCCCAGAAAGGGATTCCTAGGATTTACCCGTGGCTGGTGGGACCCTAGATCACCCTTATGGTGTGACATAAGGCTCTGGAAAGTCAGCCCAGTCTCCATCCCTAAGCTCCACACATATAAACACACCATCTTTTTTTTCTACTGCTGCTCTTAGGGCCATAGGCTCTCCTTGATGTCCTCTAGGAAGGGAAATACCTTTTCAGGTGGACACTTTTGAGTGTTTGCTGTCAAGAAGTAAACCTAGGCTGGCCTGGCCCTTTTCAGTTTAGCATTGCGATGCTCTGGCATTGATTTTTAACACTCTCCACACCTTCGTCAGTCGCCTTTCTCTCTCCTCTGCAGGGTGGGGCAGTGTAGGCTGGCCTGGCCCTTTTCAGTTTAGCATTGCGATGCTCTGGCATTGATTTTAACACTCTCCACACCTTCGTCAGTCGCCTTTCTCTCTCCTCTGCAGGGTGGGGCAGTGGGAGGGGCCTGGCAGCTGAGCTGGGGCAGGGGCCGGGGCTGAAGGCCAATGTCATAGACCATAGACGCCTTGACCACCAGTTCGTCCTTATAGGGGATATTGGTCCTTCTTCCTCTTCAGGACAGGTGGGGAAACTGAGACCTGGAGGGGGAAGGGCCTTGCCCTTGATCACATAGTAAGTCAGGCAGAGGGGGACCAGAACCCAGTCATCCTTATTGCCAGTGAGGGCTACTTCCACTCCTGGCTGCCACCTTTCTTGAGAGTTGACCAGAGGACCCATTGAGGGTCAGGGGCATGCTTTCTCCTTTTCCAAGGAAGGCATCTCTAGGCATGGTCCCTGCCTGCTATGGGGATCCCTGGGCATCGGGCAGAACTGGGGGGGATATCCTATTTCTGAGGTTGAGGAGGTATGAGCTGGTGGCCCTAGCAAGGGAGGTGGGGGTGGGGGGAGGCCGGGAGGTTTCCGGGAATGTGGTTGGTGTCTCAGGGTGCCCTAGGGCCAGCTTCTTCCCTTCTTCCTTCCCTCCCTCTCAGGGAGGGGACTGGGCCGACAGTAATGCCATTTGTTCTGGCTCTGGGATTAGGTGCAGCCGTGTTTAGTGAGGAGTGTGGAGCCATTGAGGGGACGTGGCCAAGTGAAGAGGAGCCGAGCAGCCGCTGCCTGGAACTCTGGTGGGTCCTGTCCTTCCTTCCCTGGCTCCCTGTACCCTCTGGCCACTGTCCCTAGTCCCCTGCCCTGTCCTTCCAGGTCTGTCTGAATGCGTGTGTGTACTTACATACCTCAAGGGAGGGGCCTGGGTGTCCTACCTTGGCTTTTGGTGGGGGCCGCTCACAATCACCCTGAATATGTGTGTTTGGGGAGAGAGTCTGCTAACAACTGCCATTAGATTCTCAAAGGGTTCTGTAACCCCCAGAAGGTCTCACACTTTTACTCTAGTCCAGCCCTCGTTGTGCAGTTAAGGAAACTGAAGCTCAGAGAGGGGAAGGGGCTTTTCCAGAGGCACACAGGCAGTGATGGAGTCTCTGAGACATCTCCCCATCGGCACTCTGGCCTCAGCTCCCGACCTCATGGGCTGGGGGAGCCTGGCTCACTCAGAGGGGACTCTCGTCCCCCTAGTACTCAGAGCCTGGGGAGGGGCTGGGATGCTGATGTGGATTCCAGTCCTACATCCATGAGATGGAGGCCCTCAAGTATGCCTGCTGCTTGGAATCTCTCGGGGTGTCTGGCGGCCTGGAGTTGGGCATGTGAGAAGGTAGGGGCTGGTGGGGAACAGCACTTCCCAGCTCCTCCTCTGCAGTGGGAGAAGCTCACTGCATGATAAAATTCTTTTCACTTCATTGGGAATAAATGACAAATACATGAGGTAATGACTGGGAAATGCTTGGTATAGTGCCTGGCACGTACCAAGCCCGTGAGGCATGCTGGTCACCATTGTCCTTTGCGTTCCCTTTTAACTGAGATCTCTTGCTTTTGACTCTCGCTCCTGTCTCTTTCCTCTTCCTTAGCATGAAGCCTCTGCCTGGGGCATGGAGGCAGCCCTCTTTTCTCATGGGTCCCGGGGGAGGGAAAAGTGAGGACCCTCTGGCTGAGGTTCTGCCTTTCTGGGGCCCATGGTGCACTTCTTGGTCAGTGCAGGCTTTCCCAGGAGGCTGAACCTCACCTTTGCTAAAGAAGATAAGTCATCAGCCCTGGGGCTGGTCATTTACAGGTAGCCTCTCTCCTGGGCTCAGGAATGGCGTGGAGTGCTAGGCAGCAGGACTATATAGGGGTTATGAACAGGGGCTCTGAGATGGGCTGGGAGGGGCTGTTCTAGCTCTACTTCTGCCAAGCTGTGTGACTCTGAGTGACATACTTGCCCTCTCTGAGTCTCTGTTTCCTTGTCTGTAAGGCGTGGAGTGCTAGGCAGCAGGACTATATAGGGGTTATGAACAGGGGCTCTGAGATGGGCTGGGAGGGGCTGTTCTAGCTCTACTTCTGCCGAGCTGTGTGACTCTGAGTGACATACTTGCCCTCTCTGAGTCTCTGTTTCCTTGTCTGTAAGGTGCACGTAGCAGTGACACCAGCTGTCAAGGTGTGAAGATAGAGCATGGTGAAGCAAGGGGTGCTCTCAGCATAGCCCCCAGGAGTTTGCAGGAGCTCTGTCAGTGTTGACTGCTGTCAACGGGGGGAGGTTATGAAATTTGTAAGGAAATGTTGTTCTGTTCCTTTTGAGTGTCTGTGATCTGAACCTAAGAATAATAGTTCAGGATGAATTTGACTCTGTTGTAGGCAGATTTGGGAGTTGGCGGAGAAAGAGCCTATTTTGGGAAGCTTCATGAGCCAATGAATAGCATGTCCTGTGATAGGCCTGCCAGCCTTGGTCTGCATTAGAAGCCTCAGTGGGACTGGTGGGAGCTTGTCCTTGGGCTGGGAGGGTGGCTGGTCCCTACCTGCCTTGTTCCCCACACAGCCTCCACCCCCAGGCTGTCAGTTTGTTTGCTTGGTAAACCCTTTCTTCAGAGTTGGTACAAAGATAAACTCTCAACTCAGACCCCGTTGGAAGAAGCAAAAATTCTCAACAAGTAGGGTCTAAGTTCTGAGGTTTTCTTCTGGGCCTTCTCTGCCAGGGAACCCAGAACAAGTTGAGAACCAGGGAGTAAACTGGCACTTTAGGCTTTGTTTGCTGGTTGTAAGCTTTGTTTGCTGGTTGATTGATGGGTGATTTGTGGGGCTACTTCCAAGAAGGATCATTAGAAGCTGCTCATGATTGTTAAAACACACATAAGATGGATGAAAACAAAAACAGAAGGGGAACCACTCAAAGGGAGCAGAGAATGGGATGTATGAGGCATCTGGCAAGTGTTAGCTGTCTTAGGGGAACAGAGGGGGCCCGTGGAGCTGAGGGGTGAAGAGTCTACACTCAGTGGCCTTGTGCTCAAATTCCTATTCGCCCACTCACTCTTTGGGCCTCAGTTCCTCATCTGTAAAATGGGGGAATATAGGTCATGGTGCTGTTGCAAGGTTGAAATCATAGCACATACTACAGAAATATTGTGTGTAATAAATGGAAGTTAACATTAATACATTTAGCTTGGAGGTGCCTTGTAGCAGATTCAAGAAGGGGAAATTAAATGGCAAAGGCACTTTGCTCTTGAGCACCTACTCTGGGTAGGAGACCACTTCTGCCTTGGAAAGCTTTCTGCGGGGTTGGGAGACCTGTGTTCTAGTTGCGAGAGCAGTTCACAACTGGCATTGCACGGTGGGATGAGAGCAGGAGAGCTCAACTAGGACTTTGGAAATCCACAGCAAGTGGAATCCAACTCCCTGCTGAGGCTGGCCTTGGAGGAGGATGGACAGGGTTTTTAATGGACAAGAAAATGGGCCAAGGTAGTTGGGAGCTGAGTAATCCTGGCCAGCAAAATAACAAGGAGTCCTTTCCTCTCTCTGGGCTTTAGTGTCCCTGTGTGCTCACTGCAGGGTGGACTGTGTTCTCTGTGGCCCTATGGACTCCAAGCCAGACCTCTGACAGTCCCTCCCCTGGCGGTGGCAACCCTGGACTCCGGGGTGACTGACAGGCGGCAGCTTGGCCCCTGGCCAGGCAGCACTGCTGGGTGGTGGGGGATGGGATGTGCCGTGAATTCCAGCAGAGGAAGGGATTTGCTTCTGGTCTCGGCCTCCCAGGAGTGTAATTGCACTGGAGAAACTCCCGCACAGCTGGGAAGCAAATGTGGAAGATTTTCTCTGCTGTGCTGGACATGGTGGGTGGAGCAGGCTGTGGCAGGGTGGCTGGTGGAGCTGGGCGGCTGTGGGGTGTGGCTGGGTGTGGGTGGTATTGCGACTGTGCTGGGGGTGTGACAGGCTGGGAGGGGCTGGATCAGCTGTAGGGAGTGGCCCTAGGTGCCTGTGGGACTACCAGTGTCTGGGCCTATAGCCGCCACTCCCCCTCCCTGCTCAAGTCCTTGCCCAGGCCTGATGCCCATTCACACGCTTTTGAATCTGCTTGCAGGCCTCTTCCTACACTGACCTCCTCTTAACCTTGTCCCCCCATGTGCATGTGATGACACCTCTGAGCATGTCAGTATACTGTAAGTGTGTCTATGCATTCATGTGCATGTGAGTGTGGTGTGTCAGGGAGGGCGGCCCACAGTGGGCATTGTCAGAAATGACCCAGGCTGGAAATAAAATATGGGCTGGTGAGCATTTAGGGATGTCGGGACCTTCCCCTATTCACCCTGCCGCAGCATCAAACCAGAGACTTAAAACCCTGGATCCCAAACACCTTTGGAAACCATTGTGGGTCTTGGTCATCACTGCATTTTCAATGCCTAGTGCCATGCCTGGCACCTAATGGTGCTCAATAAATGCAGAATGAAGGGAATGATCCCTTGCTTGTTCCCGACTCCCGGTGTGATCTCAAACCTTTCACTCCTTTCTGGAGCCCTTTCTCTTGCTTCTCCCCTCTGGCTTCAACGTGACCTCTCTTCCTCTTTCTTTCTGGATCTGCTATTAAGTTGATATGTAGTTCCTTCCTGAGCCTCTGTTTCCAAATCTGTTCAATGGATAATCATTTTATTAGCCTATGTCACCACATGCCAGGCACTGAGCTGAGTGTGTTAGGTGCATCATCACTCTTTGTCTTTGCAGCAGCCCTGCAAGATAGATAAGTAGTATAAACCCTATTTTATACTTGGGAGACAAGGCTAGACTGTCTCCAGTCTGAGCACTTACCTGCACTGCTAGCAGCCACTATGCTGCTGTCTGTCAATTGAGATAGAATGATGCACACAGCCCTTCCAGGAGGCTTGCTGGCACACAGTAGGCACTAAGTACATGGGTTATTGGGCACACTTTACCATCAAAAGCACAGCTAGCTCAGTCTCTTTGCCTGCTCTCAGGGAGCTCTTGGTGTCGTTCCTGGAGCCCACCCATTCATCTAAGGCCCAAGCTGGACCCCCTTCCCTGGTCCCAGTCTCTGGACAGATTGCTCTGTAAGAAGGCACTTGTACCTCTGCCCCTTTCTCCTCNTAAGTCATCAGCCCTGGGGCTGGTCATTTACAGGTAGCCTCTCTCCTGGGCTCAGGAATGGCGTGGAGTGCTAGGCAGCAGGACTATATAGGGGTTATGAACAGGGGCTCTGAGATGGGCTGGGAGGGGCTGTTCTAGCTCTACTTCTGCCGAGCTGTGTGACTCTGAGTGACATACTTGCCCTCTCTGAGTCTCTGTTTCCTTGTCTGTAAGGTGCACGTAGCAGTGACACCAGCTGTCAAGGTGTGAAGATAGAGCATGGTGAAGCAAGGGGTGCTCTCAGCATAGCCCCCAGGAGTTTGCAGGAGCTCTGTCAGTGTTGACTGCTGTCAACGGGGGGAGGTTATGAAATTTGTAAGGAAATGTTGTTCTGTTCCTTTTGAGTGTCTGTGATCTGAACCTAAGAATAATAGTTCAGGATGAATTTGACTCTGTTGTAGGCAGATTTGGGAGTTGGCGGAGAAAGAGCCTATTTTGGGAAGCTTCATGAGCCAATGAATAGCATGTCCTGTGATAGGCCTGCCAGCCTTGGTCTGCATTAGAAGCCTCAGTGGGACTGGTGGGAGCTTGTCCTTGGGCTGGGAGGGTGGCTGGTCCCTACCTGCCTTGTTCCCCACACAGCCTCCACCCCCAGGCTGTCAGTTTGTTTGCTTGGTAAACCCTTTCT